TGTCGGGCATCTGCGACGGCTTGGCCTATCACGACGAACCTCGTTTGCGGTTGCGTGGTTGACTTTTCCCACAGCCACCTGATCTTGGTTGTAAAAGTAATAAGGCAGTCAGGTATTGACTGACTGGCGTGGCTCACTAAGAACCCAGCAACCAGGACGACAGGCAGCGTGTGGTGTGCACCGTTGACGCTCCTCTACTCCCGCGTCTAAGATGAAGCTAAGGAAGGTATCCGTGACACTTGCCTGCCTTCATCTTAGTTGTTCTATTCTAGCGAAATGTCACTTACATGAACGTCTATCCGTCCCTTCCTTTCCGTATGCGCGGTATTAGTGAGTTGCAAGTGGGAAGAAGGTAGGCAGGTAGGTACCCTTACTTGACCTTTCCTGACCAGGCTTGCAGACCCGCGACCATCCATCCGGCCAGTGACGGACATCTCCCCCACCGCGGTACCTTCCATCTTTCTAGGGCGATAGAATGTATACTAAGGCAGGTTGGTAATTACCTTGGGTAGATCCCATCACGGAGGAGAAATGTGAAGCAAGGAACCAGCGACCTGCAGGAGATGAAAACTAGCGAGACATGTCCGCAGCAACTGGAGCAACTGCAGCCCTGCGTTGGAAAAGAAAAGAAAGAAAAATTCAATGGCATTGGATCTAAAAACGCCGCAGCTGTCGTGTCCTGGTGTCCATCGCCGCTCCGTTGCATCGCATCAGTCAATGTGCCGTACTGCCCCGTCCACTCACTTTGGTTCCTCCCGTTCCCGGGTGCCCGCTCGCTCACTCTCACACGCATCACTCACTCACCACTTTACCGCACAGCACTCACTCACCACGCGCCACACCTCTCACACTCACCCTCCACCACTCATTCACTCTCTCCCTCACTGCCCCCGAAACCCAGAAACCCAAAAACCAAAGGAGACCCGCCGCCGCCCGGACTCACTCCGTCATCTCATGCTTCTGCGACACGTGAACCACCACCTCGACCTGCAGTGAGCGCCACGACTGGACAACCACCATCTTTTTGCTCCCAACTTTGACTTGCCCGATAATTTGTGGTTTGCGGGCGGACCGCTGCGAGGACGACCGTGAGCAACAAGCTACCTTACGGGGCACAACGGCTTTTTCCCAGCTTTGCATAGCGCTGCGCCCACCTCGACTTGTTGCGGCACCTCGACTTGAGATGCTTCGCTGATCTCTTTCAGATTGCCTCACAGACATTCACCACACAGACCTTGGACCCAACCTCCGACGAAGACGTCCTGTTCCCACGGATACCGATCTTGATAAACCGCTCTAGATCGCCGCGCTTCCGAAAAATGCTTCGACTGCTGCTCTAATCGCCAAAGGAATCTATCTTTAACCACCAACATCTCTACGCCTGAATAGTACTATAGCCGATGCTGAGCACTTCAAGCTGTCTGCGACAGGCGCATTCCTCGTGACGCGCATGGTGCGCAGCCACGCAGACTGACGACTTCACTTGCGCCCATTCCCGCCCGGGCCTCAATCAACCTAACAAACATTGTTTGTTTATCACTTTACATTTACTTCCTCAAGCGCATGACACGGCCTCGAGGTCGCCCACACATAATTCGTTAATGAGACAATGGCCGACGTTAAAGAGGAGAGAGATCGAGAGGGCCGCAGCGAGAAGAAGAGCTTCTGGGGCAGCATCTTTCGCAACAGGAGTCTGGCAAAGAAAGGGAGACTGGTTCGACAACCCAAACACTTTGCGCCGTGACAGACACACGCGCTGCATTTCGTTACTTTTTGACTGACAAAAATTGCAGGAGAATCCAGAATCGCGCCGGGCGAGCGATGGAGACGTAGTCCCGCGGAGACGCAAGTCATTACCAGACATGCCAAAGGCCTCGAGAACAGTCGAGTCTCCCAACGGCCACCCAAATCTTCACCCAGACCACCCTCGTTCGCGCAGACGACCTAGAAGGCCTGATCCCGCAAGAGCAAAAGGAAAAGGTCGCGCGCATCCCAATGGCATCATCCTCGAGCAGGGACCACTAACAGAATGGCCGCCCTCCGGCATGTCAAGTCAAGAGGAGCTCACCCTTGGCCATGCTATGGAACTCGTCTCCCGCGGCGCCCCGGCCCACAAAGGCCACAAGCGCCCTGTACCCCATGCATCCGATCATTATTACGCCCTCTACACCACGTCCGCCGGCAACGATGCCGAAGAAACGGATGTCGTCAATTTGCACGACCACATGACCCAACTGATGACCCTTCGTATGCAGGGTGGCGGTTCAGCGATATATCCGTGGGAGTCCTTGGAACAGCCGAGCTTCGCCTACTTTTACGGTCAACAGCCCGGCACCATCACCTTGAACCAATGGGCTTGTCTGGCTAGCATCAAGCCTCCAACGATCGGTTTGAGAGACTCTGGCGCAACGGCACGAGAGGTCGGCTTGGATCGTATCTTTGAGCGTCTGAAGGAGCTGGAGGCGGGGTTGGAAGACGATGACGAAGAGTGGATGTACAAAAGCTTATATCGCCGCTTCCTCCGCGACCCCGACAAGATGATGAGCCCGCACAAGGGACTCGACAAGCAGATTACGGATCTGATCATGGTCTTGTCACGTCCGGACTGGATCGACTTTACGAACCCCAAGAATCAAGTTGTCACTCGCTTCATTTTCGACCCAAGCCACGGAAGCCAACAGCAGTATATCAAGTTTTGCCACCAACTCGTTCTCAGCATGGAACTTGATCTACGGATCAATTCGAGATTGCATGGGGAATGGGCCAAGGAGAAGCTACTGCCTCAATTACCGCCCACCATCCAGTGGGATCTTGCGCTCGCCAGACGCTGGCGGGAACATGTAAGGGTTGAGGGTTATGGGAAGTCGGTTGAAGATAGTAAGCTGTCTACGTGTGCCTATCTCTCTTGGCCAGATCTAACTTGCGACAGTCAACCTACGCTTCAGGCTGAAGAAGCGCCAGATCAAGATGCTACGGCGCTTTGCTCAGATGATGAAGTGGCCAAACCTGAGCCAGACCCTCGATAAAATGAAGCAGAGGGACATGGACGCAACATTGGACATTATCAGCTCCGACGCGTTGGCATTCTTCAGCGGTCTTGTACTGCCAGGCGTAAGTTCCGCTCACTGACAACGAAGAGGTTCCTCGCGCACGTGCTAATAAGCAAAGACAACGTTTCCATTCCTCATCATGAACACCCTCATCGACATTGACCCTGACAAGGCAACCGACTCCTTGGCCATGATGACGCACCTACATCCTCACTGTGGGTTTCAATATAGGAATAGTTACACCTACTGGACTGCTGCTTCGATTGTCGGAAAGGTCCTAGCCCCGACTTGTAGATCGTTGGCAGGTTGGGTCGGGCCAGCCCGTCCGACCGCCGATCTTGGCCGATCGCAAATCGCCCGCGTGCGCTCTCGGCGTCCCCGGCAGCGCATGACCCCCGAAGACGTACAGTCGATGAGCGAACGATCTGACCCTCTGGGTCCCCCGGCTGAGGTATTCCCGGTTAAGGAATACAAGCTCGTGGCTCCCGACGCAGACGACATTGTTGATACTGTCCGAATCGAGCTACTGAGCTTCAAGGCTGTCCCGGACCGTTTCCAGGAACCACCGCCAGCGCCGAAGGTGTTTGATGCGACGGTGCAATTCGCAGTGGATGGGGTGTCCTGGCCTATGCGCCTCACATACGATGTGTCCTTTATCTCAGCCTGGCCGTGCTCAGGGGGTCCTCATCCACTGTTCTTCGACTACGTCTTCCAAACCGTCAAGGCCGATGAGATCATGAACATCAAGGATTGGGGTGGTCTGTATGGTCAGTCTCCAAGTGCTCGTAGTTCGAGGACAAGCTCGACAGCAGGCCCCCACACAGCAAGCAGCCAGGATCAAATCGACGAAGAGCAGGTGTTGGTAGTGGAGGCCTTTGGAGTCAGGGACAACGAGGTTTTGGCACGGGCCTGGTGTTCACACTGGGGACTGAGTGCTGTGATTGCCGATATTCGCAAGACATGGTTAGTTTCTGGAGACCCTTTAGTTTTATGGAATCATTGCTAACATTGCCCAGCATGGCTTGTGCTATCCGCGAGGCATATGCGGCAACGTTAACGGTGGTGGTTTTGGTGGACGACCAGGAATACAATACGGACGACTAATGACATTGCATGGGGGCAGAGAGGTTTCTTTCCATAATGATGAGGTTGACAGGATACGATACGAGGATGAGGCTGCAGACGACGACAAAACGATAGCCATTTCGGCTCGTGCTTTTTCTTTATTAGGATCTTAGATACCACAGCGAGTCTTGTTTCTGCCAGGACCGTGTCCTGGATGAGGGTTGGGGATGGTCAAAATATCGAGAGAGGGGAATGAGACGGTGTTTTCTTGCAAAAGAACCATTTCAAGGCTCTGGCGAGAGAAGGTTAGCAGCAGGACTGAGGAAATACCCAGGACAAGCTGCATTCTTGGGCGTTTCATGAATAGTTTCGCGGAGTCCCAAGACGTTTCTCCGCTCGAATAGACAAACTTACTGCTGGGTACTTCTCACTATCCCGTACTTCGTGATCGGTGTCTTCCCTCTTCAGCATGCCTCAAAATTCACCAAGCACAGCTTTCAACGCCGCCAAACTCTCCCTCCACATCTCAGCACCATCACCACCAGCCCAAGCCACCACCTTCTCCACGCCCTCAAGGTCCTCCCTCATCCTCACCTCGTTCGTAGTCCCATCCAACACACTGACACCCTCCAACCCAAGAACCAACCCATAAAACGCAACCTCGTCACTCACGCCCGCACCCTTTGCAACCTGCCTCACAAACGAACTCCTCACCAACCTCGGATTCGCCGTCAACGTCCAAAACGACTGAAAGTTGATTCCCCTCTCGCGGCAGAAGACGCGGACGGGGGTATTGTACCCCTCATCAGGGTTCAGGCGGTTCTGCACGACGACGGGCTTGATGCGGGCGTCCTCGTCGCAGAGGCGCTGGAGGTCCGGCAGGTCGACGTTGGAGATGCCGAGGGTGCGGATGCGGGAGGGGACGTATGTTTCTAGGGCGCGCCAGGCGAGGAGGGTGTCTTTGTAGGAGGGGTAGGGGGCGTGGAGGAGGACGCAGTCTAGGTAGAAGTCCTCGTCGCCTTCCGTCTCCTGCCCTTCTGGAGAGTCTGTAGGTGACGGCGCAAAGAGGTTGTTGTCGACGGCGAGGTTCTTGAGGGAGGAGGCGATGGACTTGTGGACTTGGTCTGGGATGGGTAGGTCTGATGGCGCGGGGGAGAATTTGGTCTGGATGTAGAGACCCGCGCGGGTGATGCCGTGAGTGGCCGGTGAGGGGCTCCGGGAGAGAAATTGGAGGAGGCCGACGCCGACGCCTTCTTCCGAGTAGTGGTGGGACGCGGCGGTGTCGAGGGCGCGGAAGCCTGCGGCGAGGGCGGAGGCGACGAGGGGCGCGGTTTGGGATTTCTTCCAGGCTGTGCCGTAGATTAGGCGGGGGATTGGGGCGATTGTTTGTGGCATTTTGATGAGATGTTCTTGGTGTACAGGTAGAATGTATGCGTGGGGGTCAAGTGGTACGCGGAGATAATAGGAAGTGTGATAAGTTCACCTTTGTTCAGGATGGTGAGGTGTTGAAGGAGAGGATGTTGGCGACGAGGGGTTGTCGCAGAATGCATGCACAGATACCTAGGTGAGGTTGATCAGGTACCTTCGTAGTCAACCAGGAAGGGCCCAGAGCGGCATGTATCGTACGTGAGACATAAACATCAATCGGCCTTCAGTGTGTTGGTCTAAGTCAATAACCACCGGCACCGGAATAATCAAGATCAAGAACAAAAGGGCCAAAAAAACAAATTGAAGAAGGTGCTTGTGGGATTCGAACCCACAAACTACAGCCCGGTAAATTTGACCTCAGGATTGGTCTGCGAATAGCTTTGTCTTCTGGGCAAGTTCCCCTTTATTGCTGTTGAGAATTTCCGAACTGAATTGGCATATAGACCATAGGAGGGGAGAACCTGAGGCTTCAGGATCTGAATACTTGTGTATATTCCGAATGGCTTCACATCAGCACCTCAGTGTACAACCTTTGGAAGGTAGGTTAGGTACCTAAGGTAAGGTACTTTATCGTCCTTCTATGACGTCTTATCGCTGATAAGCAAACGAGGACTCCGCCGCGGGGTAACAATACGAACCCCGCCATCCCGTCGCCCGCCAGAATCACCACTCACCACACGAAGAGTTTCCCCCAGCTCCATCCATCTCCAAACTGGCCCAAAGAGGAAACTCTAGGAGTCGAAAAAGTTGGTGGGTCCGTAAGGTCGAATCGGCTCACCTCAGGTACGAAGTTTGCGTTACGATATCGGTCTTGACTGACCCTAGATAGCTCTTTTGCGAGTCCATGTGTCATCGCGGAGTATCGGCGAAAAGGACCCATTCTCACACCAAACCCCCAAGTCAATTTACCCGGGGAATGGGGGGCGAGAAACGGGGACGGGAGCACGGAAATCAAATCGCGTCTTTGGTGACTCGTCTTATTTGGCGGCTTATGCAAATGTTTTCGTTACTTACCATCACCATTGGAACACCGGGATGTGTTTGTAAACTCGGCTGGTGATATTCATGATTGTCTAACGAGCCAAGTACATTGGTTCTGGAGCTGGCTCGTCGGTGTCAAACTGCATGCTGCAGGAAATCAACCATTTGTGCAATCAGAAAACTTCATCAACCATGGAATTCCATAGTCTAAGTGCTGGTGTGGTGTGGTGTTGCCCCTTTGGTTACGACTTGCATCGACGATTCGTCTGTTTGACAATGGGCCCCTGCCCTTCTTGCTATTCTCGTACCCCGCAGCAACTACCTCCGAGAATTTGGGGGTGGAGGGTCCGCTCCGCGTTGTAGGGATGGTCGCGCGGGATAGAAAAGGGAAAGGCATCCTCGCCGATTCGCACCTCGCTGAACCGTCTGCTCTTCCTCTTTCTTTTTCTCTCCAGTATCGATCGTCTCATATATACACAGGCATTCGATTCCCTTGCTCAGATCCTGACAATTCTTAGCAGCAGAACCTCAAGCCAAGAAACACACCCTTTGATCAATCACATCAACCTCTCAAAATGGCCCCTCACACTGTCAACTGGGGCATCATGGCCACAGGCTGGATCGCCGAGAGTATGCTTGCACCGATAGAACCGAGCACCTCCAACACCAAGCCGTAGCTGACCAAATCGTCTTGATAGCCTTCTGCAAGGACCTCCTAACCAACCCGGCCTCGCGCGAGGTGACCGACGTCGCCCACCGCATCGCCGCCGTCTCCTCCTCCCGCGACGCCGAAAAGGCTCGCGCCTTTGTCAAGAAGATTGACGCCCCCGCCGACACAACAGTCTACGGCTCCTACGCCGAGCTCGTCCGCGACCCGGCCGTCGACATCATCTACGTTGCCACCCCGCACTCCCACCACTTCCAAAACGCCATGCTCGCCCTCGACGCCGGCAAGAACGTCCTCTGCGAAAAGGCCCTGACCGTCACCGCCGAGCAGACCCGCGTCCTCGTCGAGACGGCCCGTGCCAAGAAGCTCTTCTTCATGGAGGCCGTCTGGACTCGCTACTTCCCCCTCAGCATCAAGATCCGCGAGCTCATCTCCTCGGGCGCCATCGGAAAGGTCTACCGCGCCACCTCGGACCTGTCCTTCAACAGCAACGCCGAAGATGCCTCCGGCAAGCTGTCCTTCCCCGACGCCCACCGCATGGTCAACCCCGAGCTCGCTGGCGGTGCCTTGCTAGACCTGGGCATCTACTCCCTGACATGGATCTTCCAGACGCTGTACCACCTGCAGCCCGAGGCCGAGGCCGACAAGGAGAGCCCCGAAGTTCTGGCCTCGGTGCAAAAGTACCCCGTCACAGGTGCTGACGAGTCCACCACCATGATTCTCAACTTCCCCAAGCACCAGATGACCGGCATCGCCACCACCTCGCTGCGCGTCGACACAGCACCCGACGGCCACAAGGGCGAGACGGCGCCCGCGATCCGCATCCAGGGCTCCAAGGGCGAGATTCAGGTTTCCCACCCGGCCTACAGGCCGACATCGTACAAGGTCGTCAAGAAGGGCGTCGAAGAGGTTGAGGTCGTCGACTGTCCCATCCCCAAGGATAAGGAGCGCGACTGGGGCCATGGCATGTTCTGGGAGGCTGATGAGTGTGCGCGATGCCTGCGCGATGGAAAGACGGAGAGCGCAACGTTGCCATTGTCGGAGTCTCTCGTTATCATGGAGACGATGGACAGCGTTATCAAGCAAGGTGGTATCCAGTACCCTGAGCTCATCACCACCCACAAGTTTGATGCCCAGAGCCCATTGAACCTGGGTAATGCTTGAGATGAAGGTGCGTTGCTTGAGAATACGGTGTTGTATAAGTCCGGTTGTACGGAAAGATACCTTAATAAAGAAATCTTGAATCGAATGCGTGGCCCCGCTTTCGGGAGGCCTGGGACAATGGGACCGCCAACCCGGCCCGGGGCGCCGTAGTTGAAGTCTAATAAAAATAAGCCTTTTGCTGGCCCGCGATCGTCGTACGTCAGTGTCTCTCGATTTCTCTTGAAGCTACAGACGTGTGGCGCAAACCTAGTGACAGCAACGGCTCTACTTTCCACCCCACCACACACATTCCTTCTTTACCTCCCTGTTCAATCGTGAACCAGGTACCAAAAAAGTCAATGCCACGCGGGCGACGAACATGTCTCTAGCGGACAAACATCATCATCAGGGACTCCACCTTGGATGGACGTGTCCATCAGACACGAGTGTGATCATCATCCCTCTTGTCACACACAATCTCCAATTCCCACACGTGGCCACGAGAGAAACTCTAGAGGCTGGAAATAAATTCCGCAAGGCACCAGCCACACATTGAGATACGCTCAAAGAAAAATGATAAAAAGAGATGCAACGAAGTAGAGCAAACTTGCTCAAACGGTCGCTAACAGAAAGGCAGGAGAACTAGGTATGTGCTACAGCAACGCCCCCCTCTCTTTTGCTCTTGACCCTTGAATGTGTCTTTCCCTGCCGGATCGGAGATTAAAATCCTCAAGGGACACAGGGGCCCCGAGCGGTACCACCTGAGTCTGACATCACCAACACTGACCTTATGAAAAGGGGCCGATGGGCTAAGAAGCCT